GCATCATCTTGTTCGGGTTGCCTGAGTCTGTGAGTGCAGTGCCCACAACATGCAGGAATGTGATGTCAGAAGCTGGTGTTTCTCTTCCCGAAGACACCACGATCGAGAGGATCGGCAAAAAGGCAACCACCACCGACAGTGAAACTCGCCCCCGACCAGTACGCATCCGTACGTCGATGTCGATAAAGGACGCGGTTTTCCGGCACCGGTTCAAACTGACCTTCCTCGACAGGCCGTTGTATGTGGGTCACGACCTGACCCCGCACCAACAGGCGGCGAGAAAGGCTGTTGTTCCCCTTTTTAGGACGCTGCGAAAGAAAGGTGTGACCTGCTCGCTGCCGTACGACAAGATAGTCCAAGGAGGAGTGCCTTTGCCGGATGAGCGTATCGCCCAGCTCCTACAAGACGGCAACGCATAGGACAGCGCTGGCCCAGTGGCAAAGGCAAGTGATCCCGCTGTCAATGTATATACTACTCACATTAATAATTTTACTCACTTCTCCCATATGAATGCATGTGATGAGCACCCCTCCTCTTCTTCTTCTTGTTCTATTTCCCATGTACATACTACACCACTCCACCACAACATTAGTTTGCAGAATAGCACCATGCATTCAGGCTCTTTGGTCATATGCACTCTGAACTGTCGCAGCATGCAGTCAACATTAGTTCAACTCATCGACTTGATTGAGCAGCACCACATCGATGTCCTCTGCTTGACGGAAACATGGCTAAATAGCACTACACCCGACGAAATAGTATCAGTTCCAGAGTTCGAGCTTCACCGACGGGACAGGGACAGTGTTCAAGTAAGTTGGAACACACTGGGAGGTGGAGGAGTTGCCATACTGAGTGCGTCACATCTCTCAGCACGCCGTCGCACGGACCTAGAGCACCAGTCATCAGAAATGATCACACTTCAAGTCAATGGTATCATTATTTCATGCATGTACCGGCCACCACGTCATCACACCTCCTCTTTCAAGCATGCATTCTCGGTTTTGTCTCAGGTGGTGGACAACAGCCCACTAGTGGTTACAGGCGACTTCAATGCCCGATAGTGGTGAAACGAATATTCGAATATTCGAACATTCGTTCGGTTTGTCACATTCGAATATTCGTTAAGTCACATTCGAGTATTCGTTACGTCACTTCGAATGCAGTGCATGTACATACATGCACGCCAAACACGGTACAGTGCAGTGCGTACAGCCTGCCTGTGACTTTGTACTGTATGCATGCACATGTATGTCCATACTGGACTGCCAATGGTGCACATAACATGTATGAACTTCGAAGTAACCTTATGCGGCAGTTCATTTTATATGGCACTACCGTTTGTCATACCTAATAATAATGACAATATCCATCAAATGACTGGGAGGAGGGCATGTGATGTCATCTCTGCTACCAAAAGAATATTCGTTCATTCGTTCGTTAAGCCAAAGAATATTCGGCTGGTAGGTTTTGACATTCGTTTCACCACTAATGCCCGAAATGAGGAGTGGAACACGAACGATAGAACAAATACAGACGGTTGTGCGCTAAATTCTGTTTTCAATGATCTTGGCTTGAGTCTGGTGTCAAAGAATTGTGGGACTCGACCGTCCAGCCATTCGAATCCATCACTAGATTTGGTATTATCAAATGCACCTGATGTCTTTGACAATTGCATTGTGGGGATGCCACTGACGGACCACTGCCCTGTCATATGCTCCGCATCCTGGTCAGCACTGTCTGCAATCTATCGCTCAGTATCAGGAGCAACCAAGGGTCAGACTAGGGAGAACACCACAGAGAAACGAACAATCAATTTCAACAAGTTGCGCACAATACTCAGTACTATGCACTTGGAAGAGTGTATACTTGGGGAGGACGTGCACATTGACTACAGATGCATGGCACTGTGCTCATCGTTAGATCAAGCCATCGCACGGTCCACCCTCGTGACTAACAAAACCTTCCGTGTGAATACCCAGCCTTGGTTCACTTCCTCGCATAGAAAAAACCGTCAACGAGTCTCACGCCTGTACAAACTTCACCGCCGAGACCTACACAATCCGACGCTTAAAGCAGCATACATTCTCTGCAGAAACGAGTACCGCTACACCATACGGAAAGCTCGAGACTCGTATTTGTCTACACTGGGGACATCGAGGCTAAGCAAAGGCAGAGCAGGCGGCTACTCGTGGTGGAAAAGAGCAAAGAAGATATGCAATATTGGCAGTAAGCCGCGTGGAATACAACTTCTCGCGGATGATGACGGCACCCACACATCTAGCAAAGCCAAAGCTGAAATCCTTTGTGAATTCTTCAGGAAGCAATGCACCGCAAATTCCTCAAATCAGCAACCAAGTCGTTGTCCATCATCCAGCACCATTGATGACCAAGAGCAATTTTCGTTCACAAAAATCAAATCCACAGATGTCTATGAAGCTGCAAGAACATTGTCTGTGCACAAATCATCTGCTGACAGTTACCTATCAAATGCCGTCCTCAGCCGCTGTGCAGACATCCTGTGTGTACCTCTGGCTAAACTATTCAACTACAGTCTTGAGCAAGGCGAGTTCCCTTCCGCTTGGAAGATGGCCACGATTATCCCAATGTACAAGGAGAAAGGTTGCCCAACTCACCCTACGAACTACCGCCCAATATCCCTCCTCCCCTGTATAGCAAAACTCTTTGAAAAAATAGTAGCGAAACAACTCCAGGCTTACCTAACAATAAAACAGAAGATATGCAGTCAACAATACGCATACGTGAAGGAGAAGTCTGCGATAGACCAGCTTATTATACTTACCCAGCAAATGGCCGACTACATTGATGAGCGTCTGAACTTCGACCTGGTCTCCCTAGATTTCTGCAAGGCATTTGACAGAGTAAGCCACTCAACTCTCCTCCGTCAAGTCAGCAAATTCTCGGACCATAAAGTCACTGCCTGGACTAAGAGCTATTTGCAGGATCGAAGCATAGCCGTGAAGATTGAGTCATGCATGTCAGTGCCCAAAGTCACCAACTGTGGTGTTCCCCAGGGATCGCATCTGTCTCCTTTACTGTTCGTGATCTACATTAATGACCTACCAGAAGCCATACATCATTCGCACACCTTCTTGTTTGCGGATGATGTCACTCTACTTTTGCCGTACAAAGGCTCTCTGTCAAGTCCTGGTATCCAAGCGGACATTCATGCATGTCAAAACTGGGCCAGGGAAAGAGGCGGAGAGTTTTCGCCCTCAAAAACTTCTGTTTTAAGCTTCCGTTATAAGCCAGCGGCAGCATCATCACCAGCACCAACATCTGCCACCTACACTATGGAGGGTCTACCTCTTCCCAGTATTGACATCCTCAAACATCTGGGAGTTCGCTTCAGTGCAGACCTAAACTTCCGTCAACACTACCTTGACATCAGTCGCAAATTCAAGCAGAGAGTAAGCCTACTTTGTCACATGGCACATCGTCTTACACCGCAGGCCATGATGCTCCTCTACAAGTGCTATGTTAGACCTGTGATTGAGTATAGCGTCGTAGTGTGGTCCTTTCGTCTTCGTTCAAGCGACTTGACTGAGCTGGATAGAGTCCAGGCCAGGTTTGCAAGATCCTACCTTAGGAAACGCAAAATCCAAATCGACTTTAATACACCCAAGCAGGATCTTAATAAAAAAGCTAACATTGAATCCCTTCTTTACCGCAGGCAGTTTTTAAGCTTGGTTACCATGCATAAATTTATTTTCAAGTATCGACGTTGCCTAGCTTCATTCCATTTCAATATCACGCAGAGTGCGAGACGCCCTAACAAAATTATTCTCCCTAAAGCAAAGACCACATCAAAATCGTTGTTTCTCTTCCAAACCTCCCTCTTATGGAACTGCCTCCCACCAAGACTAACTGCAGAACCATCCATTATTGTTTTCAAGAATGAGCTTCGCAAACTCACTTGCAAACATAGTGCTTCGCTCTCCGGTATGCCTACGCCATGTACATAACCCCCCCCCCCCCCCCGTGTGCTCCCCAACGCATTCACGCTGCACAACTTTTCACTACTTTCACTTTAGCTCATACGTGTACATGTACATCCTTCAAAGCGGTGAACCCCTTGATAGGCGACAAGCCTCTGGGTCATCCTAATAAAGATATTATTATTATTCACGTCGCATTCTCGAAGAGTACGAGAAGAACCTGTGGAGGATCCATAAACAGAAAATAGCAAACATGGATCCACACTATGTACAACCCGGCATACATACGACACTTTTGTAGAAGTCGGCAGGAAAACAGGCTTCAAATCTAAAAACGATCCATATGCGACTCATAATAATTATGCGTCAGCAAGTCGAGCACCATTGTATGCTTTGGTCATCCCACTCGAACTCGGGAATTCTACAGTAGTGAGGTTTTGCATTCCGAATTTCGGTTCGGCGTTCTTCGGTCATTTGTCGAACATCAAAATGTCGAATTTTCGCTCCAACGTTTGTTTTGCAAGTCGAAAATGATGTGTTTTCATTTCGTGAGCCCCAGCATCAGCAACGTCCTGTCCCGTGCTTCCGTTCTTGCTGATTCCAACGAACTTTGATCGCCCAAAGAGTCGAGGGCCAAACCTGCCTCCTCAGTCGCCTCAGAAAAACCAACTCCATGGCCAAGTCAAATTTTATGCGTATCGCCATAGTCTTTTCAGCCACACAGATGACGGTGAGGACACTCCAGGCGATAGAGAGTAGACAGGCATGCAGTGGAGAGGAGCAATCAGAAGTACACTCTTGTAGCTGGCGATGCTGATGCGCCCAAGACGCCTGCGAAGCGATGCCGAGATAAGAAACCTCTTTGAATAAATCACGCGCTAGCGCTAGCGCTCTTCTACAAGAAAATTCATCCGAAAAATATTTTCGGCAAAGTGAGCTTTTTCCGAACAAACATGCCGAATCTTCGTGTGCATTTTCGACCTCGCTCCCGCGTGCCGAATCTTTTTGCCGAATTTCGGAATGCAAAACCTCACTAGTACAGTATCTCTCATAATTTCACTCGTACTTTCGGTGCTCGGAAAAGTCTGTTTCGAATTCTCAGTTTATGACCTTGGCCATTATCAGCTCACGGCAAGCTCTTTCAGGCCATTGGAGAGTTTGAGGATCTTGGAGGCTTGGTCCAGAACGTGCAATAGACTTGATGTCACAGGCCTACGGATGCATCCCAGTCTCGGGTGGAGAGAGTCAGCAGCCAGTATACGGAGAGCAGGTGCCGACAAGAACAGCAGGAACAGCAGGTAAACACCTTGTTGAATTTAGACATGTGGGTTTTCCGATACTACGTATCATGAATGCAGAGTTGCACCTCGTCGTTCTTTTGTGATTCTTTGAGACCACAAGTTCTGCTGGCATGATAATAATTATTGTTGTTCATTCATACTGTTCTGCACATTTGTGCATTGAGCACTCTACCTCGAGCTGCTTATAGCAGCGCCTACACCGGTCTTGTTTATAATTATTATATTTATCACATGACACGTGATTGTTGCCCGTACTCCAGCGAATCAGCACCTTTCGCGCCGCGGGCAATAATATGCGATATTGCCCGCAAAAATAGTTTATTTGCCTGCAAAAAAAAGTTTATTTCAGTGATCGCGCGACTACGACGACTCTGTAGACTGTACGACTCTACGACGAGTCGCAGTGTAGCATTGAAGCGGGATTCACAGAAGCTTTTTTGCGATGCGACACGCGATGCGACGCGATCTGCGACGAACGCGTGCGATGCGAACTCGCGAAATATCATTCACAGAAGAAGTCAGTGATGCGACAACATCTTGCTGATTTGGCTACGTCACCATGATATTCGCGCGGTTTGATACAACTTGTACAAATTTATAGGCAACTCTTGAACCTTTGTACAACTTTGCTGTAGAAAAGGTCAAAATCGCTTGTCGCATCGCATCGCATCGCAAAAGTTGAGCCAAGCTCAACTTCTGCGATGGCCCAGTTGCGGCAGTTGCGTGGGGTGCGACATGGCTGCGATTTGGGGTTTTCCCGGTTTCGTGTCTGTCGCATCGCGTGTCGCATCGCAAAAAAGCTTCTGTGAATCCCGCTTGAGACGAAGATGGAATTCTTTTTGGAGATGGACATCCCGGCAATGGACATGGCCTCGGACGTCTGCCGTGTGGTGCTTGCAGGGATCATTTTGTTCAGTCATGTTGGCAGCCTGACCGTCGGTAAGCTTGTGGATAAGATTCAGTTCTGCTCGAAGTGGTACTGTGATCACAAACAATTATTTGATATAACACAAATTCAACTCAGCGTCGTGCGTTTTCAAATCCTTGCAAAGTCACTGCCTGTGTGTGGTCTTCATGTGCCACGCAAAACTCTTACCTGGCTTATCTGTCCTCTGCCTTCACCTTTTCTTGAACAACAAACACAACAATTCAGGAATGTTTTGCAATGAAAAATACAGCTATCTGGAGCTGAAAAAAAAGAAGAAAAATTGTCCTCAGAATTACACACCAGGGAGTCGTCAAATACTTGCACTTGTTGCAGTACTGTATTTGACAACTTCCTGATACACATGTAAACATGAAGAAACTCTTTGTGGTAGCACTCTTAATTTTTCAACTGAAATTATGATTCTGCTGTATTTTATTGTCGTTGTCATGTCTATTGCTATGACGATGCGGTGCCGGCACTTATTTTCTGTCTCCGTCTTTCAATACTGTATACTCTCTGATGGCCTGTAGCAGACTTTTTGTTAGGGTGTAGGAGAAATATCTTCATTTTTCCTGTTTTGATAATGATAGCACATCAATATACATTGTGGTCATGTGTTGGAATTTGGGCTAATTTCAACAGCAGCCCAATGGTTGCTCTGTGGGCCATGTGATAAATTTGTTATCGCATGGTTGCTGCGGGCCTTATGGCATATTATTGCCCCTCGAGGATAGCCCTCGGGCCTACGGCCCTCGGGCTAACCTCTCGGGGCAATAGACATCCTTAGCAAAAGTACGATAACGCTAACTTTTACGGTACTCACTCCCAGCCGTGACAAAAGACGTTATCGGATAACGGAAAAACGTTACAGAGCTCAAAATAACAGGCCGACGTTCGTTATGGAAATTCTGCAAAAAATGCAGAAACTCGCATTGTTTTGTAACTGGTGGGAGATAAAAACACGTCGTGCAGATCGCGATGAGATCGAGAGTCGAGATTACTTCCTCTTGTGACATTTAGCTTTTTTGGCGAGTTTTGCCTTTCAGTTGACAATTTCTGCATCCTCTGCTTCGTGCCTTTCTCCCTCTATCCCATCTGGGAAACAAAGGACCAGTTCCACAGCACTCCTGAGGAAGAAATTCATCGGCCTCTCCCAGACGTGCTGGAGCTGGAGAACCCTTACAGTCTCCGTTGCTGCGTTTAGGAAAGGGTTTCCAAGGACCTGGGAACAGCAAAAACTCATTTTCGCCGTGCTTTTGCTATTCCAGAGTAAAAGACTTCGCCAAGGTATTCTTTCGGAACGACAGCAAACTAATCCCTGGTTCGAAATTTTGAATTTCCCGCATCTGCTTCCACGAAAATTCATATCGCCATGGTTGTCACGACTACTTCGTCTCAACTATAACGTACTTTGTGCTAAGGGAAAAGTCAGCTTGAACGATCCGAAGTACGGAAAGGTTTCCGTTTACGTTAGCGTTTTTTTAGCTAAGGATATCTACTAATAGAGAGGTTCCGGGGTACGATTTTCCGTGCCAAAATCCATATGGGCGCTACGGATTTTTTCCAGGCGTGCTCCATACGATTTTTCGGCACGGAGAATCCGTGTGGACTGGCTTTCATACGAACCGTATGGAGATTTTGCGTCATCGGGAGCAGAAAGATTTTTCGCGTACAAATTTGGTACGAGAAACATCGATTTTTCGCGGGAAGTTTTGACTTCGGTACAAATTTTCAAAATAAAAAGGCATAGCGTGGGAATGTGACGTGTTTGCGATCGTAACCTAGGCAATGACGGCAAACACATAAGTTCCGTACCCCGGAACTTTTCACTGCTCGAAAACAACGTATAAAAAATCCGTAGAGCCTCCACGGATTTTGGCACGAAAGATCGTACTCCGGAACCTCCCTATTATCCCATAAGGCCCTTGCAACCATGCGATAACATATACTTATTAATTTATTCACCTAAATCTTCCAGCATATGCAAGCAACTCTAATCTGGGGAGCAACCCAAGAGATAAGGGCGATACCCAGCCATGGCAAGATTACAAAAAGACCGGCGAAGAAAAATGGAACAGGGAGGAAAGCAAAGCTCAGCCGTTGAGAGAGCTGGTCTGAGAATACCAAAGTATGTGTGCAAGCCGATCACTTCGATTCCGTTCAAAAGTTGCAGGTACACCTTTGGGTGAAGATCGACTGTGTAAAGCCCTCCAAGAACGTTTCTGAAGGGAACCTTGAAACTCTCATACCTCTCAAAAAAGGGCGAAAATCACATTCGTTATGTCACCCCACAGCGTACACAAAAAACTGCAAACAAAGCCCCACCAAGCCAACATTGCCTCACCTTAGAAGAGTTCATGGGGCCTCACGACCATGTCAGCATCCCAGAGAGCGAGGGTCAACACCCCTTGACACCACAAATGATCGTCTTGAAAATAGCCATTTTACCAGCTCTCATAAACCAGCCAGCTATGCCCCTAATTTGCAATAACTATTTTTTTTATTTCTTACAAAAGACCACTTAAAAGCCAAACATGAGATGCAGCTAGGGGAAGCACGCACAATCACACCTGCTATTAGTAGAACACCTCTGCTATAGGGACTGTGACATGTCCCCCATCTTCCATTTTTGGGGGGTTTCTTCCAATTAACAATTTGAATTTTTCCACTGCACCATTCTGAAATACGCCCAAACTCATACCTGCGCAGGAAAGCTCACCCCTCCGAGACATCTCCTCGGACAATTTCTACTCCAACAGTACTCCCAGTGCTACACAATAAAGTGTAGTGTTGATTCAGACAAGGAAAAGCATCTGTGATCCGCACTTCCTCACTCCAAACGACAAGCTTCTCCTTGCGCTTCCGACATTTTTCGGTGCAATGATTGATACGAAAGTGACTAAAGTCCTGAACGCAGCAGTTGTTGAATTTTGCTGCAAGAGGCATTGTGATATCTCTAACACCTGGAAAGTCCTGGTGACACTAAGGATTTTCTGCTCTATGTTACGGACGCGCGACGCGAAGAATCCTGGGAGCTCTCTTCGCATTGCCTTGACGCAAAGAAAACTTGTTCTTCTCTATGATCACGTAGAGAAATCAT